TCCTCTGTCCTCGGCCCGGAGTGTCCGAATGTTGACAGGCCCAGGATCTCTTGGGCCGGCGCTGGGCCCCCCTTCCGACCGGAGGATGGGGAGAAGGGTGGGGGAGGAAGGAGGAGAGGAGGAGGGGGAGGAGGGGGAGGAGGGGGAGGGGGAGGAGGAGGAGGAGGAGGAGGAGGAGGAGGAGGAGGGGGAGGAGGGGGAGGAGGGAGGTGGGAGGGGGGAGATGGGGGAGAAGGGAGGAGGGGGAGGAGAAGGGTGGGGAGGAAGCGGAGGGGGAGGAGGGAGGAGAAGGCAGGGGGCCGCTGCGCCATCTAGAGTGGCCGGCGCGAGGGCCTGTGCTTGGAGGGCCCGTCGCGGTTTCCCCGCAGTTTTTTGTTGTTTTCTCTTGCGCTCGAGAGCCTCAGGAAGCTGTCGGAGGGGCCCGCCGCGGCGCCACCGCTCGGCGTGACCGTATAGACGTGCTTCTGAGCGGCTCGCTTGTAATCGCGCAGATGCCAGCCGCGCTCTCTGGCAAAAAGCCTCCTCCTTCTCCTCCTCCTCCTCCTCCTCCTCCTCCTCCTCCTCCCCTCCTCCTCCTCCTCTTCCTGGTTCCTGGTTCCTGGTGGTTGCAAGATCCTCTGGATGTAGCCCCCCCCCCCCCAGGGCCGGTCGGCCCTGGGGGGGGGTACTCAAATTGATGCCAGGTGACCCCTGGAGCACCGCTCCAAGGGCCATCGGCGATGCGGTAGAGTGTAAAGTAAATGGGTCTTCCTCCTCCTCCTCCTCCTCCTCCTCCTCCTCCTCCTCCTCCTCCTCCTCCTGTGGGAGGCCTCCAGAGCCTCCCGGAGGTTCAAACAAGGCCGAACAAAGATCCAAAGACCTCGATCATCGATGCCTGATCCTGCAGGTGCACAGGGGCAGATTGAAGACGAGGTGGAGCGTTAATGGGAAGAGGAGGAGGAGGAGGCGGAGGAGGAAGAGGAGCAGCAGGACAAGGATGAGGAGGACGATGATGAGGATGAGGCTGATGGCGAGGAGGAGGAGGAGGAGGAGGAGGAGAAAGAGGTGGAGGAGGAGAAGGAGGATGAGGAGGAGGAGGAGAAGGAGGAGGAGGAGGAGGAGGAGGCGCACGCAAGACGAGGATGCCTCCCTCCAAACTGGAGGCGGGAGGGACGAGGACGCTCCATTCCTCTGCCGTGGCGGCCTTCCGCTGCCTCCGCCGCCGCCGCCGCCGCCGCCGACGACGACGACGACGACGACGACGACGACGACGGAGGGCGGCCTCGGCGGCGCACGGCGACGACCACGACGGACGACGGCGTTCTGCCTTCCGGCGCGGCGCCCGCCGCGAGAGGACCTCGAGCACGTGGAGGACGCCCGCCCAGCGGGGTAGGCAGGATCGAAGTCGGTGCGGAAGGATGCCCGGGCGCGAGGATAAGCCTGCGCCTCGCATCTCGGGGCGTGATGCCCGAAGTTAGGGGACCTGGGGGAGATAAGGGTTCTGAGTTGTTTTCCGTCCGCGGCCTCTCGGTAGAGGGCGGAAATGCGCCATGAAGGAAAGGTCGGCACGATCGATATCGGTGCGGAAAGGACTGGGGCAAAGACCGACAGCAATTCCGTTCCTACCAATTTGGAGCAGGGCTCGTCGTCGGCGTCGCCGCGGACGTTGTCCCTTTTCGGACAAGGAGCCGCCTGCCCCACAGCGGCCGCTGATGGTGTGGGCTCAACGTTTGCTGTGGGGCGTCGTGCCCATCCTCTCCGTACCAATTCCAGGCATAGGGCTTCTTCAGGGACAGGGGTCCGGAGTTGTCACTCAGCTTTTGTCGGGGGCGGACAGACCCCCCAACAGTGACACGTCGATTAGTGCATTGTCCGTTGCCGGTTCTCGAGAGGGCGCCGCGGCCGTCATTTTCCAGGCTCGCGCCCGCCAGGTTTGGGCCTCAGGTCGTTTTCACTAAACCACGTTTTGCTAAAGGGAGGTCTGTCCAGCCCCGATTTTGGCCTCTCGGGGCGCTTCCTGGGCCCGCCAGGGCCGCCAGGCAGCGAGGTTCGGGGCGAAGGGGCGGCCCCCCTGAGGAAGCCCCGGGGGGTCAGGGCCCGCTTCGGTCGGGACCCGCGTCCTTCCTGGCGGGCGGAGCACCCTCACAGGAAGCGCCCATACCGTCGGGGCGCCGAGGAAGGAACCCTTTTCGTTGCGGAGGGGCTCGGTGTTCCTTGATTGTTTCAAAGTTTGCCTCGGGTTTTCCCGAGGTTTTAGGTGGGAAATCGAGGTCGAACTTCTGGAAAAAGGCGCCTCGTTCCTTATTTAGGGTTCCTTAGGCCAACGCATCGACTGTACAAACCGAAGCCTCTCTGAGCAGACGCGTCCAAGGAAAAGATCCAAGGAGACAGGTCCGCCTGGGTAAGCGCATAGGGCCGCCGACACATGCGAGAGAAGCGCTTTCTCCGCAGAGTCGTGGGACAAGTTCTTCGTTGATCTTTGAGGGCCCCAAGATGCCCCAGCGCTTCTGTAGGTATTTTGGCCTCGGGGGACACGAAGTTTCCGTGGGGCACCAGATGGCAGGCCGTCTTCTTGCTTGATGTGCCGACTCGTAAACGTCCACTGGGGGTCGGGGTGGCTCCTCCTCCCTTGACTCGATGCGACGCCGTTCGACGACGTCGGCGTTCGACGGCGGCGGGTTCCAGTGCCGAGGCTGCCGCTGCTGTGCTGTCCGCCCTTGCTGGTCCCCCCGAGGGCTCCTCGTCGCCGCGGCGGGGCTGCCCTCGAAATTTCTGGCGGGAGCGCGCCACAGGACGGGCCCCAGGGGGGCATCAGGAAATTCTTCGGGTGCCCAAAATCACAGAAGGGGAAACGCCATCAGCATCAACTTTTGGCGCTCCGCGCGGATTTCTTGGATCCGCGCTGGGACCCCCTGGCGGCGCCTCCGGCGCCGCCCATGGCGCGCTCCGCGCGCCAGGGAGGGGGGTCCAGCGCAGATCCAAGAAATCCGCGCGGACCTCTGAAAATTAATGTTTATGTCATGTTTCTTTCCTCTGAAAAAAAACACCAGATTTCCTCATAATATTCATGTTTTTTTTAAGGGTCACGGTATTCTCCTGGCGGCGTCGCAGCCGCGACGCGACTGCTGGCATCCCGCTGCGCGACTGCTGCGCGGGGTGATGGGGGGAGGGGGTCTGCGCGAAAGGATTGGAGGTTTCCTTCGGTTCTCCCCAGGCCGAATCAGGACTCTTCTGGGGGTCGAGTTTGGATTCCCGAGCCGAGGACCGCATTTCTTTCGGCGCGGAGACATAGGCGACGATGTCGACGGCGTCCTTTGGCAGGTTTGCGGGTCGTCTCGCTGCAGGTTGTGGCCGCCCCGGCTGGACCCGGCCTCGCGACGTCGGCCAGGACGGACTCCAGGAGGTGCTCGGAGCGGGGCCTGGGCGGCGGCGGCGGCGGCGGCGGCGTCTTTGCCTCTCGGCGCCGACGGCGTCCAGACGAAGTCAGGCCGGCCCATGCTTTTCCAGAGTTTGTGCCCTAGGCACAAGCTCTGGAACCACGTGGGCTCCCCAAGCCTCGGGGAGCCCAAAGCGGGCTTCCCAAGGCCCGGGGAGCCCGCCTCGGGCCCCTGAGACGGTGCCGCCGCGCGGGATCTCATGCCCAAGAAGCGTCGGGGCGAGAGCGCTCTGGGCGCCCACGTTTTGAGATGATACGGGCGCGACTCTGATGCTGCCCGTGGGCAGCAAGAGGATCCTCTTCCTCTGAGCGGCGCCGCCTGGCCCGCGCGTCGGAGCTTGGCCCTTGTGGGTCCCGCCCGCGCGAGCTGGCCGCAGCCTCTGCCCGACGGCCTTTCGCCTGCGCGGAGCGGGAGGATGTCATTTCTGCTGAAGGAATGCACGTGAAATGCTACGCAGTGAGGTGCAACGCAATGGGGCGTCCTGCAACGCGAAGCATGCTGCTGCCTAGCTTGACGTGGCAATGCGGCGCCATGCGACGCGGCGTAACATGGCACAGCACAGGAAAGCATGGCGCAGCCTGGCGCGACATGACGGCATATCGCAGCATGGCACAGACTGGCACCGAACAACACTGCCGAGGGCTCTGGCGACCTCTGGAGATTTCCCCGGGGCCACCAGGGACCTCCAGGGACTTCCAGGAAGAGGAGCCCCCCCCCCCCCAGAGATCCGACATCTTGATATTTCAGTACGGTGTTCCTGGAGCTCTGGATATCTTCCCTGGGGTCGTTTTCTCCATCCCATATCGCGTTCTGACGGCGCCCGCGGGTCAGAGACGACCCCCGGAGGCCGAAAGCGGCGAAACAAATCTTCGCCTCGAGTTGCTCGGGGGGGGGTGTTTGGGGACGGGTCTGCGAAGGTTTGCCTGGAAGCTTGCCAGGCCCTCTGGGAGCTGCGCCCGGGGCCAAGAGGCGCGCGCTGCCTGGGGGCCGCGCAAACGCTGGCGGGCCAAGCGGTGGAATCGGGGAGGAGAACGCTTGCAGAGCGCGCCCCCTCCCCCGGCAGGACCCGTGCGACCGCGTCGTCGACCGCCTGTATGCCTTCAAGGCCCTGGACTTGCTGAGCGAGGCTCCACCGCCGCGCGCCCGTGTCCGCGCAGCAGTCGTCCGCGCAAGGGCTCCCCATATTTCCTCCTCCTTCTCCTCCTCCTCCTCCTCCTCTTCCTCCTCCTCCTCCTCATCATCATCATCCTCCTCCTCCTCCTCCTCCTCCTCCTCCTCCTCCTCCTCCTCCTCCTCCTCCTCCTCCTCCCCCTCCTCCTCCTCCTCCGTAGCCATTTTGGCTCAGCCGCGTGCGGTCCCGCTGGCTCAAACGTGCTTAGGCATCATGGCGCGGGCGGAGCTGCCCCCGGGTGGCGATTCCAGTGCTGGAGCACCGGCGCGGCGATCCAGAGCTGCCCGGACAGCGGCACGGCGGCGCGCGTTGGAGTCCGTCGACGCGGGCTTTTCGGCGGCCAAGGCCGAGCTTCAGATGAAGGAGGTCGAGTTGCGAGAGGGGGCAGCTGCGCTTGAGCTCATCGTTGGGGATTATGTGACGGCCTTGCTGCCAGCGCTCAGCGCGCTGGTCCGCGGCGAGACGCCCGATTGGCTGGCTGTTCTTCGGCGGAACGTCGCGCTCCACGCGGAGGCGCCCGCGGTCGCCTCCATCGCATCGGCGGGCCCGCTGCGCTTCGCAAGGCGCAGAAAGGCCCGCGGCTGGGCCACGGGAGGGGCCGCCGCTGCGCCCCGCAGCCTGGGGCACGGACGCCGCTGCGTTCGACCGCCCAGCCTTTCTGCCCCGCTGCTGTGGCCGACCCCGTCGGCCTGCTGCTGGGCGCGCTGGGGGTGCAGGATGAGGAGCCCGTCGAGGAGGTAGGCAACAGCACCGAGAGCATCGCTGATGTGCATTTCGTCACCATCGAGGGCCAGTGCGAGGGGGCCGAGACGGTGCCGCAGACGCCGCTGGCCGGTGAGATGGCGGGGCCGGAGCCGTTGGATGTCCAGGACAAGGTCACCGAGCTGGAGGGCCTCCTCCTTGGCGCCACGGAGCGGCTGAACACGGTCGCGCTCGCGATCGTCACCGCGCAGAACGACGGCGCAGAGGTGGATCAGGCGATGCACGACGGGCTCGCTGCTGCCGCCGACCACCTCGTCCTTCTCGAGGTTCAGCTGGCCGCCGCCACTGAGGAGGCCAAGGCGGGCTTCTAGGGCGGCGACCACCGCATTGGGCAGGTGCTGATGGCCGACCACGACCCTGGCGTCGAGCACGACATCGTCGGCGAATTTTTCCTTGAGGAGGGCTCCGAGGCGGCAGCTGAGGCAGCTCGCGCCCGCGACTGCGCCCAGCTTTTCGCCACCCTCGCGGCGGAGATCGACCCCGCCTTCGGCCTGGAGACGAATGCCTGGGGCGCAGGTCGGCGTGGGCAGAACCTGGCACCTCCAGGTCCGGCCTACGCTAAGGAAGGATCCTGAGCGGGTCCCGAATTCAGTTGCACGACCTTTTCAGGTATTGTCTAGCCTCCTCCTCCTCCTGCTCCTCCTCGTCCTCCTCCTCCTCCTCCTCCTCCTCCTCCTCCTCCTCCTCCTCTTCCTCCTCCTCCTCCTCCTCCTCCTCCTCCTCCTCGTCCTCCTCCTCCTCCTTCTTCTCCCTCCTCGTCCCCGTCTGGCATCAGAGGGTGCCCTCCGACGGTGCTCTGGCTGGCCCGAGCTTGGGCGCCACCTGGACGCCAACGCGCGGCCTCGCCGCTGAAATGGGCCCATGGGTCGGCGCCTACGGTCAGGATCGGCGGCGCAGACGCCGACCCTGGGCCCGTGTACGGGCTCTGCGTCTCCTGTGCGGGTGTGGGCCGCCGCGAGAGCCGTCGGGGGCGGGATGACGTTGCTGCCGCGGCGCTCGCGGGCTGCGGCCAGTGCGGGGCTGCGGCCGGTGCTGGTGCCAGCAAGAGTTGGACCGCCGCATGCGAGGGTGTTTTCGGGTAGAGGAAAAACGACCCAGCCAGGACCGGCTCGAGGTGGTCGGGCCGACGTTTCCCGACTGGGGCCGGACCCCTTCGTCCCGCCTTCCGTTGGCTCGGGCTCGGGGCTCTACTTCTTGGCCGGCCAGGGTTCGCGTGCCGGCAGCGACCGAAGGGGAGAAGTGAGAAAGGGACGGGCTTTGTCAGAGTGCTCAGAAGCCCCCCAGGCGTTGGCAAAAAGTTGCCTAGGCCTTCCCCGGGGACACAGGAAACACGTTTCAGAATGCCCGAGGGTTTCTGAGAAGCCCCGCCGCTTTCTGAGAGGCTCGAGGCGCAATACGGGAGCTCGTAATCCCCCGATGGCCCCATGGACCTACACAAACCCTGGGTGGGGCGCCTGGGAACCCACAAAGATAGACAAATAATGTGTTTCAGGATATCTTGTTCAGGAGAGTAGCGCCATTCCGCCGCTCGCCAGAGGGGGAAATGAATGCACGGGTGAGACCTTGGGGGGTCTCATGAATTGTGCGCGTGTGTATGGGGGGTGGGGGGTGGCGTTTTGTGCGCGTCTTCGACGCGGTTCGGGGCGTCTTGGTGGTTTCGTGGGCGCTGGCGGTTTCGGGGTTCCCTTTGGGCGCAGGGCTGGCAGTATCATTTTGAAGTTACCCTGGTGGACCTTTTTTCGGGGTCTCGGGTGTCGAGCTCGTCCGTTTTTTCTGACGCATGGGGGGAGGGGGAGGATAATGGGGGATTTGTTGAGGAAGGAGGACGACGAGGAGGACGCACACAGGAGGAGGAAAAGGGGAGCGGACAGGATGATGAGGAGAAGGTGGAGGAGGATCTGATGATGAGAGAGGAGGGGGACGAGGAGGAGGAGGAGGACGAGGAGGAGGAGGAAGAGGAGGAGGAGGAAGAAGAAGCAGGAGGGACGGGGGGAGGAGGAGGGGGAGGAGGAGGAGGAGGAGGAGGAGGAGGAGGAGGAGGAGCAGGAGCAGCAGCAGCACAAAGAGGTGCAAGAGGAGGAAGAAAACGAGCAAGCAGAGGAGGAGGAGGAGGAAGCAGGAACAGTGCAAACCCAAGATTCATGAAAGATG